CCAGCGCCGTACGCAGCAGGGGGGCAGCAGGGGCAGTTGCCCCCCTAGAGATTTTCAGAGTATGCCTTTTAATGGGACAAATACTGTACACTTTTAGAAATAAAATAGAAATGTGACAAAAGGTTATCTTAAATCATCAAAGAAATATATACACTTTAAATAAAGAAATGTGAAATTGCGAAACGTTAGGGCACAGGGGGCATGGGAAGTACCTTTGCCCCCCTACAGAAAATTTTCTGCGTACGGCCTTGGACTCTACTGTATACAGTCTCTGTATACAGGGACCCTACTGTCCGCCGTCGTGCAGAGCCGCCTGGTGGTTACCTGTCCGCTGTCGTGCAGTGCCTACCAGTCCTACCAGTGCTTCAATAAATATAGTCTCACTGACTTTGAATACTATTATGTTACTACGATGTTACGAGGACGCGCAATAACATTTGCAATGTAAACAGTTTGCAGTTGTAAACAATTAAAAAAAGTTGTAGGCATAATTAAACAAAACACGTACGCCTCTTTAATTATGCCGATGACAACACCCTTTCATATTGTCATCCGGAGTTTGAGCAGCTAAAACAAACTCGAAGCAGAAAGCGTGTCACTAGTCGAATGGTTCTCCGACAACCAGATGGAAGCAAATCCAGATAAATTCCAAGCTCTGAGTGTCGGGAAACGGACATTCGAAAAGAAACCAGTATTTTATGTAGCCAACAATAGTATACCATGTGAGGAATCTGTCATTTTACTAGTAGTGGAAATAGATTTTTTATTAAATTTTGACAAACATGTTGGTAAAATGTGCAAAAAGGCCTCACAGAAAATTAATGTTCTGAAGCGTATAGGGAAGTGTTTAACATTGGAAGGACGGAAGGCTGTGTATCATGCTTATATCATGTCAAATTTTAATTTTTGTCCGTTGATATATGGCACTTTTGTAAAAAAAAGCAAACACAGACAAGCTGCATGGAAAGACTCCATTGTAGGGCATTGAAATTTGTATACCAGGAACATGACAGCTCATATGAGGAGCCATTACGGCATTAGGAGTGTTCCCAACTTTAATGTCATTAATGGTCGTAATATTTAATAACATATATATATATATATATATAGTCATATATTAGTTTGTGGTTTAATGTAATTTAGGTTAGGGTTAGGGTCAGGGTTAGGATTATCAATCATTAATCATTAATCATTAATGATCAATATCAAAGTTGGGAACACTCCTAATAGTGGGGGTGGTACGTGTTCGGGCTAAAAATGTGCCGTTTGGTTTACATTCTTCCAAAAGCACCAAATTTGGCCCAGATGTTGCCCATACCATACTTTTTCAATTTCTGGCTGGCGCCGGAATGGGCGTCCCCCGGGGCCGCCATATTGGCAAATTCTAATATGGCCGCCACCCGGGTTGGGGTCAATCTAGTTAAACGTCCAAGAGCTATAATCATAAATCATACCACTTTTTAGGGGTTTTCAAGGTCTGGGTATCTGATTCTGATCTTACTTCAGTGATTTGAGCTTAAGGTCACCCCTCAAGGTCACCCTAAACGTCATTTTGGGGTCAAATATGTTATTTTTAGTGTTTTTTATCAATATATACAAACAGCACCTCATTTTATCGGTTTCCGTGGTTGAGTAACCCGAATCTTACCTTATTTGAACGATTTGAGGCAATATTGCATGTCAGGGTCACGATAGAGGTCACCCGACCGAGAGGTGAATCGTACGTCAATTATAGGTAAAAAAACAAAAGTGCTAGAATCAGACATAATGCCACTTTTTAGGGATTTGTGGCCTCTGAGAATCCGATTCTGATCTTATTTATAGGATTCAAAGTCAAGGTCACCCCTCAAGGTCATTTGGAGGTCAAACCCAGTGTTTCTGGTGTGTCACCCCACATCCAAAAAAGTTTGAGATTTTCTCCACAGAAACACTCTTAAAGGCCAAGACACACTGCAGCGACAACGGCCGTCCGTAACGACAAACGACTTTTCAGAAAATTAGAAACTGTTGTTTCTTATGTATAATGAGTCATTGCACACTGACGCGACGACGACCGATAACAACCTGGATGACAAAAATATTTAGAAACGTTTCTATTTTCCAGCGACTGTCGCCGGCGACACTTTACAAATGGCCAATCACAGCCATTTCCATCGGCACGTGACATCGCCATTACGTCATAAAATTATAAACCAATGCTAGCCAGGAAGTAGACTGGGCCCCAGCGCTAAACTCCCCCGCTTCACTCAATGAGCATCACATCAAGTGCACAAGGTATGCCCATCAAGTCTCCCTCATGTCGCTTTACCTACTCAAGCAGACCGCTTACTCGGAGTATTGCAAGAATGTAATGGGCCCACCTGAGTCATTCGATATGTGGAATCAACGATCCCAAACTCTACCCCTGTTCAAGTTCTGGTCAACCGTAATCGACCTGGAGCTGCTGATGACTCGCTTTGTTCGGTCCCTGCGGGAGGGGGACTTTGCACTATATGTCCAAGCATGTGACGAACTCTGCGGCTGGTTTCACTCCTTAGACCACACAAACTACGCGCGTTGGCTGCCTGAACATGTACGTGACATGGTCCAGCTAGCCGAGAAACACCCTCAAGTACATGCTGAATTCACGAAGGGCAACTTTGTTGTGCAGAAATCAGCTAGAAAGTTCAGCCTCATGGGAAAGGACCAAGCTCATGAACAGTCAAACAAAACCCTTCAGACGCATGGTGGAGCAGTTGGACACTATGAGAACCCCGATGCACTTACACTGTTTATGCTGGATGGACCTCACTTCGCACGGATAGTTGAGGAGTTCGAGGTCATCCACGACCCACCATCATCATTCACTGCTCATCATGAGGAAGGACACAGCTTGCAAGTCAAAGTTTCGAAAGGATGTACTATCGTTCATCGAGGTGGTCGAGCAGCTAGGAAACACTTTCCTCACTACAAGTTGGGAGCTTGTTGCACTCGATACACAGAATGTCATGGAACAGGCTGTCGCTATTTTTCTATCTCAAATCCATGAAGCTGGACAAGCACTTCGTGCAGCATACATCTTTGAAAGGCTGGAAAAAGCTTCAGTACCGGTATCTGATACTATCAAGCGGAACAACATGCTAACATTCGCCAACCGGCCTGACCCCAAGAAAAAAGGCAAGAAGGACAGTGGCATACAGAGGCAGAATATGACCTTAATCACGCAACTTTTCCTCTCACTTTAGTCGCGTCCCGATGCAGACATGACAGACTTCTTTCGGTTCAAAAATCAGAGAGAGCCACCAAGCCTGAAGGATCGAGGGTCGCTGTGATCTGGGACGAAGTCGGACATTCTTGAATGCCCCAATGCACCCACTGGCCGCACAGCTGCTGCCAAACAAACCACGGTGGTGGTGTTGGATATGGCAGCAGTGATCCACATGGTGCGCCCCACAACAGCAAAAACATTCAGCGAGTATGTGCCGCTTCACATTGTACCATTTCTGGAGGTCCAAATAAAGAGTGGTACCCAACGCATCGACGCTGTATAGGATAATTACCCCGAGAAAAATAACCTCAAAGCTCTCACGCAGCTACGACGTGAGAAGGGCCCACGGACAAAAGTCGGCGATGGCAGCACTCAAATCCCGAAGCATGAATGGAACAGTGTCTTCCTAAATGAAAGTGTCAATGACACTGTAGCTCACCACAAAAAAGGACACAAATGAGTGAGTAAGAAGAAGTCAGTTTTAATTGAGCAACCATCGACGTACATTATAGAAACGATTGCCATCTGTATATCGCAATAATAATTTATAAACCAAAATGAATCACAATTTGTGACCGTAGATGGCGCTATACCCGCTTTGTAGCGATGGCGTTTGAAATAAATAGGTTATGCTGCGTTCCGACATGTTTCGTAAATCTTTACTCTAATATAGATGTTTTATCGGCAAGGTGGAGAGGAAATACCAATTTTGCATTAAAGATATTGTCAATGAAATCTTGTAAAACGAACCAGACGAGTGTGACACCACAGACTGTTTGTGTCTATATAATATGCTATATAATTGCCAAACCCTACCTAATTTGCATTTTTTTTTATATATCAAAGCCCCTAGCCCTTATGTATTCACATACCAAAAATGAGCAAAATCCGTTGAACCTGAACTGACTAATGGCAATTCCCATTTTTGCCAAAAAATTGCCGTGGCTCGAAAGTACGTCGACTGGAGTGCTTCAAAATAGGACGTTTAATATGGGAGCATAGCAGTAACAACTACCCAATTTTAAACATGTGGGCCAAACGGTTCCTGAGTTATCGTTGACCGAAGCGAAATGTTGACGGACGGATGGACGGACGGACGGACGGACGGACGGACGTACGACGGACGACGACCCATGGCAATAACTCAGCTTGACGATGTCAAGGTGAGCTAAAAATGAGGAGAACAAGAAAGAGCTTTTCTCATTCATCAGCACACAGATCTCCAAGAACGACATGGGTGGAAAGCTCCTCCTGAGTGCCCGTTTCGAGACCGTGCTCTCCAACAAGCATTGTGACCTCACAATACACTTCAGCCGTGCAACCATTCCGAGGCGGACACAAGGATCTTACTGCATCTGGCACATGCCGCAGAGCAAGGTCATACAACAGCCTATGTTTGCATGGTGAACAGCGATGTCGTGGTTTTGGCAATCCGATTTTTTGAGACCATCGGCCTATCAGAGTTCTGGGTGGGGTTCAGTACTGGTAAAAAGTACCATGACATTCCAGTCCATACCATCGACTCCAATCTCGGTCCTTCAAAGTCCTTGGCACTATCCCTCTTCCACAGTCCAACAGGCTGTGACACGACTTCACAGTTTCTTGGATGTGGCAAGAAGACCGCCTGGGCAGCCTGGACAAGCATGCCGGACCTCACCGACACACTAGTGGCTTTCACGCGCGACCTACCTCTTCAAGTCGGAGTCTTACATATGGCAGGCAGTTGAACGCTTCGCGTCCTCATTGAGTGGGGATGGCACAAAGATGGCACCAGTACATGGCAACCACTATAGACCACTCTCAGCGACGCTTCAGTGGCATGTGCCATTCTCTTGCACTGCGGCTGCCTCAAGGCATGCACAGGAAGGTGCAAATGCAAACGGCGCCGGTGTCCGATGTACGGCCCTTTGCAAATGCGAAGGTGGGTGCGTTAATAGTGTTACCAGTAGTACGTATTGCTGGCATCATATAGCGCATAGTAAGCCAGAACGTAGAGACATTGTTATATCACTTTAATTAATGTCAGCAGATGTCATATCCCGCAAGCCAGAACGTATTGGTATATTGTTGCAAAAGTTGTCCTTGTATTGTGATTTGAACATTTAAAGGCATACGTACAGCGGCACATAAAGCATTTTGTCATGTTTTTTGCTACAGCATAATATGTAATCTCTGAATTACTTTAATAAAAATTGATTCCTGAATAATCTTTGTTTATTTTTTAGTAGTACACTGCTGAGCTTTGACCTTTGACCCCAAAATGTGGTTACTATGTCCATAAAATCGCATAAAAAGTGGTATTATGTCCGATTCTTAGCACTTTTGGTTTTTTACCTATAATTGACGTACGATTCACCTCTCGGTCGGGTGACCTCTATCGTGACCCTGACATGCAATATTGCCTCAAATCGTTCAAATATGGTCAGATTCGGGTTACTCAACCCCGGAAACCGATAAAATGAGGTGGTTTGTATATATTGACAAAAAAACACTAACAAATGACATATTTGACCCCAAAATGCCCTTTAGGGTGACCTTGAGGGGTGACATTGACCTCAAATCACTGAAGTAAGATCAGAATCAGATTCCCAGACCTTGAAAACCCCTAAAATGTGGTATTATTTATGATTATAGCTCTTTTGGATATTTAACTAGATGGTATGGGCAACATCTGGGCCAAATTTGGTGCTTTTGGAAGAATGTGAACCAAAATATCCCTAACACCCCTGCCTATAATGGAGCGTTAGCCCAATACTGGCGCGCCAGCCGCAACTGTACGCGGGCTATAGTTACTAGAGCTATGTACTCGAATGCATGTATAGTATGCATGTAATTGTTATGTACTGTTTTAATTATTGGTCTACTTATGTTAGTTGGTCGGTCTTAAAAGCTCACCAGAGCTTATCTTTCTCATGTTGTAAACACACCGATAAAAAAGAAGATTACTTGAACTTGAACTTGAAACAAACATTGGTAAGCACTTATTTCCATCCCTCAAACCGCCCTAGGTCGCTTCCGGTCTGCATGTCCTACCGCTTTATCTGATTCCGGGCAAATTTGTTTACATACCGGACGGCAAATTTTTTTTTCCCACTTGAGTTCCGGACCACAGCCAATCAGCGCACTCCATTCACTCGACTTCCTCGAAGCAACAATGTAAAATGTATACACCCTATCCCTAACCCTAACCCTAACACGTACCCGAACCCTTACACTATCTATAATCCAACCATATATATAAGAACCATTTATTACAAAACACTATCTATGGTGGGTCCGGAACTCAAGTGGGAAAAAAATTTCGCTACCGGGCGGTGGTCGGTAGCCGTGTTATGTCGAATCTATCACTAAAAATTTTTATATTCTAATGTTATTTTAGGTTAGATTCATACCTAAAGTAACATCAGAATATAAAATTTTTTAGGGCACAATTTATTGGTCCAACTGATGGATAGACTGATAGCTGGGCCTAAGGTAAGTGTACTGGGACCAATAGAATGAAGTTTACATAATTAAACGACAATAAATGTAATAATTAACCTACTAATTAGTAATAGCTCATGTATGATCATGTAATACAAAAATGAATAAACCATGAATGTTGATTGTTGTAATTATATTTATAATACAGGTTATTTTTTAGTTTATACAAAAAGTGCAATCTAAAACAAATTAATTTACATAAACGACAATAAATGTAATAATTAACCTACTAATCATAACACTAGCTTATGTAATACAGAAATGAATAAACCCTGAATGTTGTAATTATGTTTATATACAGGTTATTTTTCAGTTTGCACAGAAAGAGCAATCCACAACAAGAATATGACTCAATATTCTTCAATTACTGTGAATCCAGTGTCCAAGAGGAGATTAATTCCAACAAGTAAATGTAACAAAATATGAACCTAAACACTACTTACTTAAGTTATGACGTATGTAACTATGTGATATTTGAAAGCGTTGATAAATTGCAAAATCTAATCTAATATACTTAGACTATATATAAACTATACATTCAAGAAGGACTATACAAAATAGCGACCATAACCTAATGATCAAACAAGCCCATCATCGTTCCACCCCTGTAAATCTCAGATTATGTACCTTCTGTACTAACACTTCAATAGATCATGTGTAATATTTAAAAGTCACACACCCAGTGTAGTATGCGTGATTGAGTGATGTTTGTACAACGTCTCAACTCGGCTGCCACACTTGATACCGTGTCCCCCGCCCGCGAAATTTGCGGCCGGGTGACACCTGTTCGGACAGGTGACTTTGAGTCATCAGCAGCTGTTGCCACCCCTGTACCGCGTTGCATCATCTCTGCTATGACGCAGTAACAATTCTCGTCTCCACAAATGTATCTCTGGGTGTATTCTTGGTATTGAGGCACAAGTGAATAACTGTGGGTGCTAATGAACGGGTACCCACATGTCTNCTCTGAAATTATAGTGTTAACTAAAACTGTTACAGTAGTAGAGTGTTTCAGTAGTTTACAAACCATCAATGAGTCTTTATCTTAAAAAAGGTTATAATTACATTTTAATAGTGCAACAATAATTATTGTCATGATGTGTTTAACTTTGAGACAATGATAATATCTCCTGAAGTTTTAAGGCCAACTGAATATTATGTTGCATGCAGTTGCAGGGGTCGAAATTAGATTTTTATTTTGGTATCCATTCGGGATACCAGGTATTGAAATCTGGTATCCGCCAAAGATCTGGTATCCCATTTTTGGGATAGTAATTTCAACAATGTTGGTATCCAAAATCTTGAAATAGTAGCACTATATAGCAGCTAGTATCTTAATAATAGCATTTGAAAATAAGCATTGGCAAAACACTCGCGTATCCTACAAGTACCATAGGCGAGCGATATATCGATGGCCTGATATTCATAATTGTAGTTCACTCCCTGTGAGCGGTTGTTAAAAGCCGGTATTTAATAACTACATCATTAAAGGTATATAGGTATTGGAATATAATTCACCCCATGTCATAAAATTGCCAAATGTTTACGCCAAATGTTGCTCGCGTTCATTTTACATAACGCCTCCACACTACACTGCAAACGTATTGTCTAGACGCATTGTCTGGTTCGTTTGATACAATGTATACACATCACATTTATGTTTATCAACATCAGCCACGCTTGCGCTTGCAAATATGCTATGCCTGCTGTGTATAACGCTACTCTGTGCATTAGTAGCAGTAGAGGTCCCAAGTTGGGAAAATCCAAGAAAGGGAGCCAGCAATCCAAGAAAGGGAGCCAGCAATCCAAGAAAGGGAGCCAGCAATCCAAGAAAGGGAGCCAGCAATCCAAGAAAGGGAGCCAGTATTGGCCCAGCAATCCAAGAAAGGGAGCCAGGTCCATCGCCGATTTTTCGCAGTGCGCAAAAACAGAAAAAAAGTTGTGGCGGGCTGCGATATGTATTTGTCGCGGCACACCACCATTTTTTATAAAGTATACACAAAAATCATCGTTTTATCGACTTTTATTGTTCGCTGGAATCAAAGTACATCAACAACAACGGCAAATTTAGTAATTTACTGATTTACTGATGTAAATCTTCATATGGCTGAAAAATGTTACAAACCGGGAGCTTCTGATCTCATTCCGGGGCACCGGGAGCAGCGTGTCATACCGGGAGACCGGGAGACTTGGGACGTCTGAGCATAACCATGGTAACCACTGTACAGTATTATGTCCAGACAGCATTGTTATAAAATACATGGCTGCGCATTGCAACATTGTATCAATTATTGTCTGAGTGTCAACTCAAGGGCATTGATTATTGATTTGAGAACGCTCTGCAACAACTTTGACTCACTGAGCAAGCATGGTGAGTACTGTAATTAATGCTGTTACTAGTACTAGTAATCTGTTCATGATTGTAAATCCTTAAACTGTTAGCCTAGGACTAGTGTCTAGATAAAATCAATACATGTATATATATGTGTAGGGCCTAAGGCCCCACATACATAGAAGATGCTAACTATTGCTAGTATAAAATAATAGGCCAAGACGGCATGATTATAAATATACGGTAGGCCTGTCATATAGATGGATCTGATATTTGTGATAATTTTTTTCAGAAAAGGAAAGGACCCCCCTCAGCCGCCACTACAGGCATCCTGAAATATTTTGCAACGGCGCCTGGCCCATCCCAGGCTGGCCCAGGTCCTTCCCAAAACGTTGATCATGATGCAGTCGGAGATGAGAATGAGTTGCCTCAACCATGCAGCCCTGCCCCTGATGTTCCTGATACTGACCAAGCTTCCGCAGCCTCTGAGACAGTTGCAATTGGGACATTGCGGCCAACAACTAGTTCTGCATGCAACACTCCTATTCCCGCAAGTCTGGCAAGTCAGGATTACAGTGACATGGGCCTACTACACTACCTGGGGAAGTCCTTAACAGATGAGGAGCGGTTCAAGATCCTGAACTCAGCTTGGACGCCACCACCCACCTTCGCCTTTCCCACCCACATGGAGCATGGCAAGACCCGAAAGTTCCAAATTCAGTGGCTCTTCTCATTCCCCTGGCTGGTTTATTCCAGATCATCTGATGGAGGTGTATGCAAGTAAGATCCCTACCAATTCTCTCAAGTGATAGTATGTTTAACACTAATATTACTACCGGTAGTTTCGCGGGCCTAATGATGCAGTGTTCAAAGGAAGTCTGGAATAATTTGGTTTATTATGATAATAGTAGCATATCAATATGATTCTGTTTTGCAGATACTGTGCTCTATTTAGCAACACGCAGGCAACACTGGTGACTCGCCCTCTGACCACCTGCAACAAAACTCCGGAGAAGTTGAAGGCTCATAGCCAGAGCAGCAACCATCAGGCATCCGTCACAAAGGCATCCTGCTTCGTGGAGATCATGAAAGGCCAGCAGAAGAATGTGCAGGAGCAGGTACAAATTCTACTCTCTACTGAATTATTAACATTAAAACGATTAATGCTTGTTAAATGAGTTACTAGTACATGCTATGTACATTAGATCTGAGCCATACACACTACACAGTCCCACGTAGCCATATATTCAAAAATGTCTTTACAGTTGAGTAAAGGCCTTGCTAACCGGATTGCTGAGAACCGCCAGAAGATGAGGAGCATAGTGGAAACTGTCATCCTGTGTGGGCGCCAAAACCTGCCTCTCCGTGGAAATCATGAAGGTCATGAAGATGATCGCAGCAATTTCAGAGCCCTCTTGAACTTCAGGATAAGTTCTGGGGATAAGGTTTTGGAAGAACATCTCAAAACAACAGGCCCCAAGAATGCCACATACACATCGAGCAGAATTCAAAATGAGGTCATAGACACCATTGCTGACTATATCCGCCAGAAGATTTTCAGCCAGGTAAAGAACAGCCCCTTCTTCTTAATCATCGCGGATGAGGTCACCGACGTTTCTAACAAGGAGCAGCTAGCATTTGTTTTGAGGTGAGAAAACTGCATACATAACGACATAATTATGTATTAAACCGGTTCAGTAGTTTTGGTATACCCACATACAGGCCTACAGCTGATTATATTAACAGGTACCGTTTATTAATGGTAACTAGTTCCGGGATGTTTCAACGCCAATGCTTGTGTAATTTCAGATATGTGGATTCTGCTGAGACTCCTCAAGAACGACTTGTGGATTTTGTGGAGTGCTCTGAAGGCATCACGGGAGCAGTGCTGGCCAAGACCATGATCACCAGGGTGGCTTCGTATGGTCTGGATCCTTCCCTTATCCGCGGCCAAGGGTATGACGGTGCAGGCAATATGTCCGGCCACACCAATGGGGCAGCTGCCCTCATCCAGAAGGACCATCCGAAAGCTCTCTATTTCCACTGTGCGGCACACCAATTGAATCTCTGCGTTGCCAAATCGACAGAGAGTACATGTACGTAATAGTCTCCTTTTACCTACAATTATGGAACTGTTGACTGTTTGCCTTCTAATTAGAACTGTTAATATAGACAATGTTACTCTTGTGCATTTTCAGATGTGAGGAACATGATAGGGACGATTGAGAAGATCGGGTGTTTCTTCGACAATCATCCCAAACGCCAGTATGCCTTAGACAAAGCAATTGCAGAGGTAAATAATATTTATTCCAGTATCTAAGATCATTACATCACAGTCATTACCATCATTGTCGACTCGAGCAATATGTTTAATACTGGATATTAAATGACTCCTTTTGACTTGTCAGGTCGCTCCCAACTCCAGTCACAAGAAGCTGAAAGACCTGTGTAGAACCAGGTGGGTGGCACGGCTGGACGCCTTCGAGGTCTTCATTGAGCTTCTGTCCTCGGTCGCACACTGCTTCGAGACCATCACCGAGCAGGGGCTGACGAAGTGGTCAAGGGATTCTCTCACCGATTCATCTCAGTTTCTTCTAGCCATCACCCAGCCTTCATTCATCATCAGCCTCATCATGACATCAAGTACCCTGTCCTACATCCGTGGAATTACCATTGGTCTCCAGGCCAAGGCCCTCGACATCGTTCGGGCATCTGTAGAGGTCCAGACAGTAGTGACCGCACTAAAGAATGTCAGGGACAGGATCGACACGTACCATGACAAATGGTTTGTTACTTAAATATCATACAAGTTTGGCAATCTGATTACAATTTATAATCTGTGCCAAGTAACTATATTTATATTTGTTCATTGACCAATACATTAGTTCAAAATGAAATATTTGTTTCAAATTTAATTTTAGGTTTGCAGCAGCTTCCGACATATGCTCAGCTGTTGGCACTGAGCCAGCCCTGCCCCGCCGATGTGGTTGGCAACGACACCGGGAGAATACTCCGGCTGACACTCCAAGTGATTTTTTCAAAAGGGCGGTAACTATCCCCCTTTTGGATCACATCATCAATGAGATGCAGTCTCGGTTCACAGAGCTGCACTGCACTGCCCTGAAAGGAATCGCCCTCGTTCCATCAGCCCTTGTTGCCTTGCCTGCTTCCCAGGGCAACCTGGATGACTTCATAGACACATACCGGGCTGACCTGCCGTCTCCTATGACGGTTGCCGCAGAGGTGGAGTGCTGGCAACAGAAATGGCTGCTGCACCACAGCAAAGACGACTTGCCCGAGACCATCACAGATGCCTTGCGCCACAGTGGGATGTATCCCAACATCGAGATGCTGCTACGCATCCTCTGTAGCCTACCCGTCACCAGCTGCACTGCTGAGCGCGCGTTCAGTGGCCTCAAACGTCTCAAGACTTATCTTCGCTCTAGCATGGGCACGGTGAGAATGACGGGACTGGCCCTGATGCTGGTTCACCATGACATCGACATTGACGTCGAGGAGGTCATCAACATGTTCGCAAGGCGCCACCCAAGACGCATGCGAATGGTCAATGTGTTGGATGACTAGACATACACGAATGTTCACATGACATTGTTTTCATTATTGGATTGTTAAATAAACAATGTGTGGCACCAGGCTCGGTTTTGAACTTTTACTCATTAAATTTGACTAGTTGACACCTGTTATACCCACTTAGTATCACAATACATTTATTTGTATAGATCCCAATGTAACCGAGTAAGACCCGAGTAAACAACTGTAGGTCCAAACATGTTACTAGGTTTAAACTAGTACTTTTTTTTTGGTTGGTACTTAGCAACCAAGGGGGGTTACAGAAACCAAATAACCCCCCCTGGGTACGGCCCTGTATCTGGTACCGAAGCTTCCATTCTGCCATGTTGTGACTGTTCTGATTCTTGAGAAGTTTGTGCCGACTCTTTGCATTGCTTTTTCAGACGATTCTCCTCAATTTCTTCTTGTGTATATTCAGGGTCAAACCTACATCCAACTGGTAAATCACTATAAATATCATCATCACCTGCGTAATCACTAGAATCATTGAAATTATCGCTTTCTGTTTCCATCTTATACACAACACTCAACTTGCGTTAGCGTGGCGCCGCTCAACTTGGGGCCGTGACGTCACATGACCTAAATTACTATTTATGTGTTTATTACTAATTGGGCGCCGAATTTGAAATGGAATACGTTATTGAATGTATTTCTATGTATAAAAACGTTACAGAAGTTAGAAAATTTAAACTAANTACCTTTACTCGTACATGTCCAGCTGCACGTGCTCGTAGACAGGTAACGAACGATTTACCTGTAATCACCGGTGAAATTTACCTATACTCATACATGACCAGCTGCACGCGCTCGTCGACAGGTAATGAACGATTCACCTGTAATCACCGGTGAAATTTACCTATACTCGTACATGTCCAGCTACACGCGCTCGTCGACAGGTAACGAACGATTTACCTGTAATCACCGGTGAAATTTACCTATACTCGTACATGACCAGCTCACGCGCTCATCGACAGGTAACGAAT